TAATCGATTTCCCCTTTCCAATCCATACTCCCTCTATGCTCCCAGTATCACTTCTCACACCACTGGTCCTGAAGGGATCATCCACCCTGGATTTCCTGTTTCTAGTTCCTATCTATACTTTTAAACACAAACTTTGTGAGAGATTTTTCCTTTCCATAGAATACCAGCATGAAACCTGAAAATCTGCAGTAGTTTAATTTGCATAGCCTCTTTTCTTTTACCTACATATAAAATCTGCTCCCTTTATTCAGCAGATAGTTTTTGCTGCATCCTGGAAGAACATATTGATAATTAAATAGAAAAATGCATGTTCCAGGGCACTATACTGCTCATTACTTTGAAAATGTCTGGCTGTGTTGTAGTGACCACAGTGAATCTTTCTGTGGTGATACTAATTACACCAGTCATGTTGAATAATCACCACTGGAAACCAAGTATTTGCCTTTTGCTGTTACTGTGTGTAAGCTCATCCAGTATCCTCTGTGGTTGATTTCTTCACTGAGCATAGGGTTGTGTGTATCAGGACTTTTCCCTGATGGCTGAGTCCTCTAGTGCTTTGGGCAATTGTGAACATTTGCGGACCACCAATTGTTTAGTGTTAGCACTCTGTTTAGTCTACCTGGCTATCCTCAAGGTAAGGGGTTTTACTGGTGAATGTTTCAGTGAACATTAGAGTAAATGATTCTGTGTGTCCTGGCTTTCACTAGAAACTTACTGACAGTGTCTTCATAAAACTTGCCTGATAATGATACCACATGAATGAGCTCTCAATAATATGTAGAACTAGAATTGATGTCTCATTCAGCACTGTAAATCAAAATGCCTTTTAAGATCTTTCTGAAATCATTGTGTGAACTAACAACTTACTACAACATACTCTGGAGACTAACCTCTGTGTGTGTGTGTGTGTGTGTTTTTCTTTATGATCCTTCAAGGTTTTTAGTCACTTGTTTTGGTCCTCAGTGTTTTATATCTTAACTTTTTTTCCAGGATTGGTGGAATTCTACATCATATGCCAACTACTACAGGACCTGGAATGTGGTGGTCCATGACTGGCTGTATTACTATGCTTACAAGGACTTTCTCTGGGTGAGCCCTGGAGCCCATTCCTCCTCGCAGCAGGTCCCGAGGACAGAGGGCGAAGAAGCTTCCTTTGTCCCTCTGCCTGGCTGGGGTGCCTTGTGGTTGGCAGCACGGCATGTAACCACTGTGCCCCAGGGCTGCTTCTAAGCAAGCAGCAAGACTGTTGTTTAAGAAATGAAAATGCCTTTTAAGAAGTGGAGAAAGTGTTTAGAAAGTGGAAACACTCCAGTGTGTTCAAGCACAGCTCTTCAGTCAGTAATGTATAGATGCTGGAGACATTCTTTAGAATGCAATTTTGAATCTTCTGACTGAAGACAAGTAAAGGCCCTAGGGTTTCTGAATTGTTTTCAATTATGTAAGGGTCACATTGTTGTGATGCAGACACTTGATTTGAGTGCTAGCTCTGTCATTTGTAATCATAATTTCACATACACACAAAGCACATTCTTTACTGTTTTTTTTTTTTATATTTTATTATTTTATTTCATTTTCTTTCTTAAAAAATCCCATATGTTTTTGTTTTTTTTAATTAATGTTTTTTTTTTTTCTTTTTTAACTTTTTATTAGGGGCTCATACAACTGTTATCCCAATCCATACACACATCAATTGTGTATCTTTACCCTTTCTAAGCAGTACGTTTGTTACCTTTTTTTTTTAAATCTGATTTTTCATCATGGCTACAAGTGTACAAAGTACAAGTGTACTTTGATATTTCAAAAAATATTTAATATTTTTGGAATATAGATTGTTCAACATCAGTGTGTTTGTAAAGACCTCATCTTTACTAAGCGACTCTTGTAGTCAATCCTTGTGCTGGTAAATTATAAACCCAATATGATTAACAGCTGACTTTATTTAGCATGCGATAGTTACAAGTTTATATCGTTCATGTTTTATGAGCTTTTATGTTGTTTCCGTTCCCTTAGCTGTTCACAAAGAGGTTCAGGTCTGTCGCCATGTTGGGTGTCTTTGCTGTGTCTTCCGTCGTGCACGAGTACATCTTGGCTGTTTGCCTGAACTTCTTCTACCCAGTGCTCTTCGTGCTCTTCATGTTCTTTGGAAGTGAGTGTGCGCTGCCAGGAGCGCTGCTGCCGCCCTAGCAGAACATCGAGGGTGCGGTCGAGGGGAGGTGATGCCGAGGAGCTCCGGAAGAAAAGGAATTCTTGGAAATCGATTGTGGTAGCAATTGTATCATTTTGATTGACGTGATTGAGCTATGGAATGATATGATATATATGTATGAATTCCCAATTTATTTTTTAAAATACACATAATAAAAACATCAGAACAAAAAAATACATAAATGAAGTATACAATCAATGTAGAAAGGTAGATGGTACAACTCTTCAGTCTACTTAGAAGGAGCAAAATTAATTAGGTAACCCCTTGAAGGCTTTTGGTAACACTCATTTGTTACCCCTAGATCATGAAAACAGTGTGTATGGGCAACTCCTTACGGTGTCAGTGTGCACGCACACAGCCCAGGAAACAGGCCGTTTTTAGTAGGAATCATATGAATGACACCACAGAATGTATTTGCCCTTGCAGAATATTCTCTGTTAATTCATTGATTGATAAGCTTCAACTATTAAGTGATGTCAGCATCCGAGGGTTCTCATCTCTGGATTAATTGTTTGGATAACTTTTTTTGGTGTTCTTCCTAACTTTAGTGGCTTTCAACTTTATTGTCAATGACCGTCGGAAGAAGGGGATTTGGAACGTTATGATGTGGGCGTCCCTTTTCACGGGTCAAGGAATCCTCCTGTGCTTTTATTCTCAAGAGTGGTACGCACGTCAGCATTGTCCTCTGAAAAATGTGAGTACTTGATCCTACTGGATTGGAAAAGTAGCCCACGTTCTCTTCTTGGTGAGAGCTGACGGATAATATTGAGAAGACTGTTAGTGGAGGCTAAGATGAACTCATCCCGAGGGGAGAGAAGTAGAAGGGAAAGCATTAGTTTAGGATCTGGTCTTACTTTCTGTCCTTGGAATAGTTTTTCTTCCTTTGGTTTTGTTTACGTTGATCTCTCCACTGGCTTTCTTTTCTTTTTCCTGCCTTGCAACACCTGCCCCTCTCCCCCTTTCAAAGCTCCCTCCCTAGTTTCCTTTTTATGTTCTGAGACGTAGGTGTTCTCCAGGATTTTTCTCAACTGTATGTGCTTCTTCCTCACTTCTACCACCCACGTGTCTTTTTTGTCTCCTTCCTTCCAAATTAACTTTGTAGAAGTGTCCAGACCACACTGATAAACCTAAGGTGCTGTTTCCTGTGACTCTTCTCTGTTTTTGTTTCTTTCTCTTTCATCAGTCTCGTTTTGTCATAGTTTGACTTTAAGCTTTGTGCAGATGGCTTCTAAATGGAAATCTTCAGTCCTAATACATTCTCATAAGAATTTTGGCTCTTTTCATTTACCTGTCTCATGAACATATAAAGTAAGTTTGAACTGTAGATAAAATTACTGACCATATTTTGAACTGGCTGCTTATAGCTTTAGGTTCACAGAAATCGGTGGTGTAAATGGTTGATGCCCTCAAGTTACTAACCATGATACTTGGGTGCTTCAGGTCCACCCATAGGTACCTTGCAAGAAAGGCTTGGCAAGCAACCCTATTGAGCACAGTTCTGCTCCGAAATTCATGGAGTTGCTATGAATTGGAATTGAAACCAGGGGTGGGGGGTGGGGCAACAAAGCTCAGTACGTAACATCTAACACTCCTACTTTCCCGGCCATAAGGAACCCTGGTGGTCTGCTGGTTTCAGAAGCAACTACTAGCTGATTGGTAGTTTGAGCTCAGCCAGTGGCTCCAATGGAGAAATGCACGGCAAAATGCTCATGTAGATGACAGTCTAGAAAACCCCATTGAGAGGTTTCTGCTCTTGTTACGTGGCTTTTCTCTAAGTCAAAGACCACTTGATGGCTCACAGCAATACCTCCTCAAACCATACGTAACTTGCACACGGATAAACTATTCTTTCTCTTTTTTCCCCCTTTGTAGCCCACATTTCTGGATTATGTACGACCACGTTCCTGGACTTGTCGTTATGTGTTTTAGAAGCTTGGACTTTGTTTTACTCTTTTTATTTTTTTGTCACTGAAGATTGGTTGTTCTGCCTGATTGTGGGCCGGCAGCTACTTCCAGCGGCTCCTGAAGTTCTCTGTGTTTTGGGACCACTCCAGGCTTTATAGATGGCTCACTCCATTCCAAGGCCACGTGAAACCGACCTCTTGGAATCTTACTCACTTAAGCAAAACTTTTCCTCCTCTCTTTTGGTAGAAGGGAGACTGATTGCAGAGGCAACAGCAGAGATAATGACAAGGTGCCATGTTTTATCTGCTTAAGCCTAGACAGTTATAACTCTGCATCTTCTGTTTCTAGACTCAGTTACCCAAAACATGAAGAAATTGTTCTAATTACCTCTGATTGAAAACTTTTTTCATGAACACTGTTGGAATGTATGCTAATTAAATGTAATTGAAGAAGAAAACGAAATCATTTAATGTGGAATTATTGTTGCTTTATAACTATAAAGAGAATGTCATCCATTTTCCAAAGATAATCTTGTTATGATTTCTATAGTGCAAAAATGTTTCTTTCTCCTTGGGGTCCTCAGATTATGTAATAAGGGAATCAAAAGGGGAAAGGGTGGGGGAAGCAGCACAAGAGAAAGAGAAACATCCTCTTATAACTTCCAAAGTAAGGGTTTTTCAGAGCCAATGATATATTTAAATTGTTTTTTATTATGGAGCTTGTATGGAAAGTAGGTGCTCCTCACTTTTTTTAAGATAATAAAAAACGCTATTTAGAAATATCCTTTGGTACAATTATGTTGTCTAATAAATATTGAGCTAACTTGAATTATTTTGCAGCCAAGTTGCTCTGAAATTTAAGTATTTTCCACCTCCATTAATATTAGAATGACTACAAATGATACAGAAGCTGGCTTCTGTAATTACTCAATTATTATATATATTTTTAATTGTGTTGGACTTCTAGGGAAAATAACATAGGATTGTTTCAGCAAACCTATTGCTTTTTGTTTCCATGTTACAAGGTGCTCATGCCAATACAGTGAGGTGTGTCAGAATTTTTTGTACATGAGTGTTAAAAAGATCAAACAGTAGAAGAGAGCAGAGGCCGTGTGATTCAGTTTTCCATCCAAAGCCAGGAGACTTAAGAGTTATCCAAATGATTATTACTTGGGACAGCTAGCTTGAAATGTGTCTTGATATTCTAATAGCCCTACTGTAATCAAATGCTTTGGGAACTCTTTCTGTATTTCTTAAAATTCGGATAAGTTATGCAAGAAGATAAACAAAATTCTTAAATATTTGCAGGTTAATTTGAAGCAAAAGTACCTAGTCATTGTACCTTTGCCTCTTGAATGTAGGCAGTTTTCAAAGGGGAATCCAACCTCAACAGACACTGAACTCAAAGGTGGTTCTTTTTCAAGTATGCATACATTCTCAAGCAGTAATGTCTGTCTAGTGTCATGTAATGGAATCAGAACCTTTTAACAAGACTGCTTTCATAATATGGCTTGTAATTCCTGGCATTTTTCTTAAAAGTTAAAAGCATTTGAGTTAAAATGGACTCAAAACTACATTTTAAGTAAATGAGGAATTTGAGAAAACAAAGTCTAATAAACATAGTCATCAATTACTATGCTAGTCTTTTGAAGCAAAATGATTTCTGTATAAAATTGTGGTTGTCAAAGAGTTCTTAGGTCTCTGTTTCTGTTATGGATGCCTATAAATGTACACTCCTGAGGTTTTTCACTGGTGATTCTGACTGCTGTATTATCGGATTGTTCTACATTCTTTTCTTTTAAAAAATCTCATTTTCATTTATGTGTATTAGTGATTTTTCACCCCATAAGATTTAAGCAATGACACATTGCATCATATTAAAGGAGAGATTGTTTAGAATGCAGAGACTTGTCAGATTTTCAGCAACCCATAGTAATCTTAAGAATAGCCACTTTTGTGAATGAAGCTTACTTTGATAGCCATAAACTTATTACTAACTACTTCTAGCAAAGATATCTTTTTACACCATCACAGACACTGTGAACAAGTGAAAACTTGAACTAAAATACTCTTGCCAACATGTTTTAAGAAGGCTCATTTATTTTTAGTATTTTGTGTGAAATTAGCTTTATTTAGAAGACAGTCCATTTTTTCCTTTTGAAGGTGAAATTTTCTTTCCTGTAAAAAGTATTAATGGCAATAGGCACTATCTTATTTGCATTGTCCAGAGAACAGTGACGTAGGTATTTCACTCGCTTAGGTTGGTAACTAGGTCTTCTAGTTACTTTTAGGTGTGGAATACATTTGTTAGATGTTTTTATCTCATTCCTGGATAATGAAACTAAGAAGGAGTTTGTTATTGCTTGTTGATGGATTAAAAATAGTACAATTGCCCAGGTATATTTGCTTGGCTGATGCTAGATTTGATTAGAAAATAAGAGCCCATTTTTAACACCCTAACATCACCATTTACGAGTGGGAAAAAGGGGGGCAGTTACTCCCCTCTTTTTTTTTTTTAAGATCATTTTGGGGGCTTTTACAGCTCTTAAAACAATCCATACATCAATTGTATCAAGCACATTTGTACATATGTTGCCATCATCATTTAAAAAACATTTTCTTTCTACTTGAGCCCTTGGCATCAGTTCCTCTTTTTGCCCTCCCTCCCCCACCCTTCCACCCTCATGAACTTTTGATAAATTATTATTTCCATATCTTACTCTGCCCACATTACTGTTCGTTCCCCTGGGGTAGGGGGTGGTTATGTGTTGATCATAGCATTCGGTTCCCCATTCACCTCCATCTTCTCCTTATCCTCATGGTATCGCTACTCCCATTATTGTTCCTGAAGGGTTTATCTGTCCTGGATTCCAAGTGTCTAGAGCTCTTATCTGTACCATTGTGCATGCTCTCATATAGCTGGATTTGTAAGGTAGGACTGGGGGGTCATGATACTGGGGGGAGGAAGCATTAAAGAACTAGAGGAATGTTGTGTGTTTTGTTAGTGCTGTACTGCACCCTGGCTGACTTGTTACTTCCTTGTGACCCCCTCTTCGCATTGATGATTGTTTGTTTGGGTCTTCTGACCTTCCCCCTCTTTTAACAACTACGAAGTAATGTGTGATACTGGCACGTTAAGAAAGAACAATGTTTGACATTCTGTTATTGCAAATTCAGATTATGTTGCAGAATTCATTTAACATAGGTACTTTTACCATAATTAAAACTTTTATGGTTGCCTGAAAAACTGAAGTAATGAAAGAGACTATTATGTATTTAAAATGTGGTTGTTTGGACCACATAGCCTAAAAGATCATTGATGTTGTGAATTTAAAATTTTTGAATATATGATATTATGAATTCTTTTTTGAAGAAGGCTCTTTGAGTGCAAGTAACTTTGAAACAGTTTGTTTTGTGTGTGTGTTGAACGATAGTTCAGGTAAATTAATATGACTACTAACAGAACAGCATGATACAATAATGAAAACTTCATTATGGGACCTTTTAAAAATATTGTTACAGTTGAGCATGTAAAACAGATAAAACATAACTGCTTCTGATTCAGACTAGGAATAGCAGGCGTGGAGCCCTTCCTGCTCAGTAACCCAGTCCTCAGAAAAAGACTAGTCCAACTTCTGTTAAGATAGCCCATACTTGCTACCAGTGTGACCTTGGGCAAAGTCACTTAGTATGTATCAGAGCTACAGTTTTCTTCATTTGTAAAATGAGGTGTTAATAACTACCTCGTAGGGTTGTTATAAGGTTCTGCCCTGGCAGATACAGGGACTGTTTCCTGTATAAATTGAAAACGCCTATTTCCTCCATAAATTCTTAATCTCACTGGCTTTTTTTTTTAATGGAAAAACATCGAATCCTGCAGTTGCCCATGAAATAGGGGTTTTGTTTGTTTTTAACACTCTCAAGATGGCCTTGATAGATTGAGTCACTCAGATGAAGCCACATCTCTGCTGAGAAGCTGTGGGCGGGGCAAACAGCGGGTGGCTGTTGTCTAGCAGCCGGCGTGTGCTCCTCTACACCCCCTGGACTCCTGGATGGCCATAGACCAACAGCAGACACCGCTGACTCACAGCGACCTCATAGGACAGGGTAGAGCTGCCCAGTGGATTTCTAAGACTAACTACATGAGTCGAAAGCCCCGTCTTTCCCAAGGAGTGGTTGGTGGTTTAGAACTACTGACCTTGCAGTTAGCAGCCAGACTCAGAGCCACTATCATATATATATATATATATGTATATGTACACACACCTTGTGGGTATAGCACACAATACCTATTCCGTTTGCATGTTTATGTAGGTTATTGTTATTACTGTTATTGCAGGATATGTCTGAATTGTATTTACCTCTCTAGTCTTGAATATGTGTCTACCCTCTAGTTAGTGGTTTACCCTCCCTCCCATCCCTGGTAACCATCAAATGATGTATTTTTCTATGTGTGAAAACTAATTTC